GGGACTGGGCATCCATAGTGCATATACAAAGAATTTGACTAACCTAGCCAGTCTAGTTTAGAAACTTCTTACACAGGCTACCTCTCCTTGGGCAAGGCTGATTATTACTAAATATGGAGGGAGTTGCTCTAAAATAAATCAATCCTTCATCTGGAAGGCTATTATTAAGGGATGGGAATTATGTTCTAAAGGAATCACATGGTCACCTCACCTAAATTCAAACCTAAATATTTGGGATACAAGATGGATCCCTAACTCCACAAACCTAAGAAGTTTAATTGAAGGTCCCATTATGCCTGAAACTTACAATCTTAAAATCAGGGATATTTATATCAATAGCAAATGGGATCTCACAAAACTATCGGTGGATATTCCTTCTGAAATTCAACAAAACTTCCTTAAGGTCAAAATTCGAACAAAGGGACCCTTAAATGATATTCCTATATGGTCTCTTTCATCCAAAGGAATTTTTACTACCAAAAGTTGTTATAATCTTATTGAACCAATTATTAAAAAACAGTTGGACTATGATTGGATTTGGTCTTTATCCTGCCCAATTAAGATTAAAAAAAATGATGGCAATGTCTCCATAACAGGCTACCTTGTAGGAAACACCTAGCCCGGATTGTAATCAATATTGACCCCATATGTCCAATATGTGATATGAAAGAAGAAGAATCTATCATTCACATTTTTCTCACATGCAAAGTAAACAAAACCTTTTGGGATAATTTGGGTAGGGTAACCTTTTATGATCCCACAAGGGGGCACTGGCTTGCTCAATTAAGAAATCAAGATTATTCTATGAGACACAACCTACTCGAATGGAATTATATCCTCCCTTTTTCCCTATGGGAAATTTGGATTAACAGAAATGCAAACAACTAAAACAACTCGAGGCACTCTATTAACATAAACAATATTATTCAAAAATCTATGGAATTCAAGCTTCTTACGGAAAATAACATGCTGCCCATTGAAAGGATTCAATTACAAATCAAGTGGCAAAAGCCCCCAAAAGGATGATACAAATTAAATGTTGATGCTAGTCATAACAACTGCCAAAGTGGACTGGGGGGGGGGGAGTATTCCGCAATGTAAATGGAAACTGGATTGTTAGATTCACAAAGTCCATACAAGCTAGGGGCTCTTTGGAGGCAGAACTAAAGGCAATAAGGGAAGGACTCAAAACAGCCCATGAGTAGGATTTATTCCCATTGGAAATAGAGACGGATTGTGCAGAGGCAATACAAACTATACAATGTGGTAATAGACCTTTTGATAATATTGTCAATATTTACAGGTCGTTAATGCACCAAGGAAAGGTGACCCTCCTTCAGCACATATTTAGGAAGGCAACATTGTCGCTCAGCTAAGCTGGGAAAGACTCCAGGAAGGAAGAAAAAAGTTTTTGTATCCCTTCCCAATGTTATTTTTAATTCTATTAAGTATGATGAAGACAATCAACGTTGTTTTGTTTAATACATATCTATGGATTCTTGCAATAGATTAGCAAGCTTAGGAAATCAATGTGTCCTAAGCGGCACGCAACTAGGCCATAATGTAACAAACATTACGTAATTTAATATATATGTTTCTTGTTTACTCAACAAAAAAAAAAGACATACAATTTACCATTTATATACAAAATAATACAATAGACTCCAATTTTACCTATTTCCTTTCCTTTTTCTTCCTTTCCCATTATATAAAATACTGCCTTATGACTTTAACCTCAAGTGTAGGAACTATAATCAGCAGTTCTACAAGCATCGCTGGAATTTCTCCAGGTTAAACAAATCCAATATGATCAAAGAAGCTATCATATCGTTTCAAAACAAATTTACAAAAAGAAAAGCTTTACAGAAAAGCTTTGTCCAGTAACGAAGTATTAATATGAGGGGGAACTTGATTTCCTAGATACTCAACTAAAATTAATTTTTAAAATACTCAATTACTGAAAAAATCGATCGTGGTATTCGCCCACATAAGATTTGAAGTTTCTCATCACCATCTCTGTAATGAATAGTCATTGACAGCCATTAAAATATTTCGAAGCTTTTAATTCGAAAATTAATTTTTGTAAAATTGTTATTTGTTTGAGATAATTTGGTAAAAATTCAAGGTGATTTAGTTAAGATTTCAGATTGAAACTTGAAAAAGAAGACATAAACAAATTGTATATATTTTATTAGTTGTATATAAATTGTAGTTTTTGACCGGATTCTATATTAAAAATTTATTTTTAAGTTGTAGACATATTATAGATTTTGACTAGATTTGTACATATTTGTGAAAAACTTTTAGTTACTTTCCGTAAATAAAAAAATTTAGACAAAATCGAGTAAATAAGTTTAAAATCTCGTATATATACGAAAAAGTCCCAAAAAGTTAACTGAAAATACATTGTTGGGCCCCTATTGTACACGAGCATTTCAGATCTATATAAAAATCACTTTCACAATTTGTTTCCAACTAAATTGAAGTCATCTGATCTGACTGTTATACGTGGTGGCAAAATGGATAAAAGAAAACAATTATTCATTAAAAATGGATGGATAATGAACTTCTTAAAAACGGGTTGAATATGGATAAGAACCATATTATCCATTTAGAAAATGGATAACTAACGAGTTAAGCATTTACATTTGTAAAGCTCAAATTGGGGGTTCCTCAAGTTTGGGAAACTAGGAACTCTCCGTATGAAACATGAGACGGGTTGGATAATTTATCCGTTTTTGCATTACCTATTTTCGACTCATCCCATATCCGATATGACCCGCCCGTTTGCCATTCGTAATAAAGATTTACACACTCATTCCAATAAAACTATTTCATGTATGATGTAGGGTGTGTTTGGTACAATGAAAAATGTTTTCCTCGGAAAATATTTTCTTGAAAAATAGCAAGTTTTCTTACTTATTTTTCAATGTTTGATTAGGTAGCAGAAAATATTTTTGAAAAATATATAATTTAGGCAAACACTTTATGAGACAAAATGGGTAAGGACGAGGGAAGGCGGTAGGTCAACATCTAAGGGCTGAAGTGGCAGTAGTTATGTTACAGGGAGGGGCGAGGGGCGGCAGGGCGCGAGTGCGGGAGGAGGGAGGTGGGAGGT